TCAATTATATTTAATATAATTGCTTTTCGTCGATGGACGAAAAGCTTCACATTTGACATAAATAATCGTTTGAATAAATGTGGATTGATTTTTTAAAAAACAAATAACATCTTTTACTATATTTAATAAAATTATTAATTATTATTTATATATTTCGAAAAATTTTCTATTTAGTTGTAATTATTAAAGTTTTAATTTCTTTTATTTTCACAGTATTTTAACATTTAAATCTATATCTTTGAAATTAATAATAATTTATTGTCAATAAAAAATTAATAATTTAATAAAATTAAATATTAATAATTTATATTCATTTGAATTATTTATATGCTTTTATAAATAATTAAATTCAACCGAAAGATTGGCTCAGTCGGATAAGTGCCTGGCGTTGGTGGTCGTTTAAGGACCAAGGGTATAAGTATCCTTGGTTCGCGCCCACTTGGCTTGGTATTTTTCCGGCACGTGGGACAATCTGAGCGGGAGGTTTGACGTCGAGGTATAATGATGTGCACCGTCGATTATTGTCCGGTACACACCATTAGAACTCGACTGTCGATAAACCGGTTGTACTCAGAGAGGTTTTCTACAGTTTCCCTCTTCTCTGGCGAGAAAACCCATTGACGGGTGGTCCAGGCGTAATGCGAGTACTCCTAATAAAGTCGGCTGTAGACGCAAAATTAGGTTAATATATAGAAAATTTCTAAAGTAGAATGGTTATGCTTAATCCAAAAAAGTATTTCTCGGGGACTCTTGTCGAAGTGCGTAAGGCCAATAGGGCAGGAGTATAAACAATAAAAAAAAAAAAAATAATTAAATTCAAATTATTTATTAATTTAGGGCATTTTATCATGCATTTAAAAATGAATATAAGTTTGTAAATCTTTTGTTACAAATTTTATTTGCGAAGAAAATTATTACATTAAATTAAAATATAAAAATTACAGGATTACTTAAGTCCAAATTTTATTTATGTAATTAAAATCGTCCTGTAATTTAGTCAAATAAAAAATTGTTTCGACACTTTGACTTCAGGCGCTCACGTAAACACACCACTAAGGCACCACATTTAACAACGCTACAAATCAGTTCTGTAATCGCTTACCATTCGAACCTTACTAAGAACGGAACTTAAATTCGGAAGCAAAGTACAGCAGGCTTCGTGACATGTTACAAATGCGTTCTGTAATCTAAGCAGATCTATTTTGTAAGCAGATCTATTTTGAAAAGTAGTAGAACTGCTCTGTAGCTGTAACAAAAGTGGTCTAAAATGGTAGTTTCGTCCGAGCAGTACAGACAAATTTTGTAACCGCTACAAATAAAAATTTCTCCGTGTATTTGGGACATTCTTTACCAAACGGGCCACCCCATCTCTCCATTTTTGTTTTCATTAAAAAAAATTCAAAACCTGTTGGAACAATTAGCTTAAAATGTCTATTTTTGTATACCGTTGGACGATTTTAAAAATCCAAGATGGCGGATGAATGTTTCCTCTAAATAATAATTCAAAAAAGAGTTTTTTAAACGCTAATGAATTAGGTGCATCTCTTAAAGCTGGATTCAATATATTCCATAATCTTGCACCTCTAACAATGAAAGACCGTTGCATTATACAAGTTCGATGCGGTAGTATTATTAAGATCAATTTTCTTTCTCGAAGCCTGTAATAATTTTCCTCAACAAATTTGTTGAACTCAAGAAAAAATTAAATAAGTAAAGAAGAACCTTAGTTTTAAATACTGAGAAGAGTAAATTACCCATAAAAAATTTACGTCGAGTTGCAACATTTAATAAGCCAGATTTAATTCTATACTGCGTAATATGTTCGAACCGAGGAATATCATAAATGAAACGAATGCAAGCATTTAAGGATTGATTTAAATAATTGTTGATAGTATCATCATAAACACGGCAACAATAATCAAAGAAAGGAAGAATCAAAGATTTAATTTAACTAACACTAAACGAGTTGATGTGGGAAGCGAGCCTTTATTTCTATTTAACTGTTGTAAAGTACTAAATGTTTTGCGCGATATGTCAAAAACTTGCTCCCTCCAAGACAAGGTTCTATTTATTATCAACCCAAGATCCTTCACTGCTTCTTAGAATACGATTGGTTTACCCCCCCCCCCCCACAGTGAAGCACCCTGAGGAACGGAACACCACATTTCAGCCTATTCCATTCTGATTCAATGCCATTTCCATTAATAACCCTTTGAAACCTAAAATTAATGTATGACTCGAACTAGCAAATTTTAAAGATGCCGTACATGTACTGTGACGGTGGGTTTTAAACCATTTTAACCCAAAGGTGTTCACACTATTTAATGTCTTTCCATATATTGAATCTGGACACTTTTCTTTTTTTTACTAAAAAATCCAAAATCTTTCATCGAGCCGTTTTTAAAAAAATCTATTTTTAATGTTAAATAATTTAATTTTTGTATATTTATTTAAAGTATGTGCAGAATCGTAATGCAAATTGATACAAAAATTAATTTTTATAAATAAAAGTATTTTGTAGATTTACTACAATTTTTTGTGTACATAAAATCACTGAAACAATGAAAATCATTAAAGTGCGACTTCTGAAGAGCCTCGCAAAAAATGATTGTTTTCGTACCTCGAATGTTTAAACATTTTTTGCTAAGTGGTCACTTTTAATGACTCAATAATCTCTGAAAAATGTTAAGGTGACTATGTGCCCCGTTTAGAAAATATAGGCATATAAGGGGTCAAAGTTGACCATGTCTAATAAAAAATATTTATCGATTTCACAGTTATACTCGAATATTAATTTAAAAAAAAACTAAATGGTTCTTTTAACATTATTAGCAGCTGATTACGAATCTAAAGACAAAACTGTAAGAATTCAAAATGGCAGATCTTATTTAACATTCAAATTTTGCAACAATTTATCGGATACACTTGAAACTCGTTACACAAGGCTTTTTGGGGTCGCTAATTACGAATTTTATGTTTGATTTCAGAAATTCAAAATAACGAACAAAATATGGGGGATCAGTTGTTACCGAGCTTTAATGGGTTAAGTGAATTCGTTGAATTTTTTACAAAACTTGTCTACCATATGGGATCTGCTATTAAATTATAGACCCCAAAAACCTCCGAGTAACGAATTTCAAGTGAATTTCTTAAATTTTTGCAAAACTTTAGTGTCATAGTAGATACTCCATATTGGATAGAAACATGATTTTGAATTCTTAGTTTGACTTTAGATTCGTAATCAACAGACAAAAATCTTAAAGGAATCAGTATTCGAGTATAAATGTGATATCGATAAATTTTTTTTAATGGACAGGGTCAACAACTTTGACTATTATTTTTTATATTTAATAATTTTTATTTTTCGGTGATTTTCTCTACACAAAAAATTTTAATAATTTTACAAAATCTTTTTATTTATAAAAATTAACTTTAGTATCAATTTGCCTTACGATTCTGCACATAATTTAAATAAAAATATAAAAATTAAATTATTTAATCTAAACAATCGATTTTCTTAAAAAAGGCTCGATGAAAGATTTTGGTTTTTTTTGGTAAAATACTTAGAAAAGTGTCCAGATTCAATATGTGGAAAGACATATACAGTGGGAGCACCTTTAGGTTAAAATGTTTTAAAACCCACCGTGTTGTGATTACCGCGAAAACCAGACTGTAGAGGTTCAAGAAAATTATTCTCCTTTAGAAAATTTTTAAGCTGTTTACACGCAATTTTTTCCAAAGGTTTAGATAAAGTGCAAATTAATGAAATTTCTCTAAAAACTGTAATTCTTTTCGGATTAGACACCTTTGGAATAGGCTTAATATTACTCATCTTTGACATCTTAGGAAAGACTCTTGTCTTAAGAGAGAATTTAAAGATGTGCAGCAATACCGGAAATATAATAGATAAAGCTAATCTAATCATTTTAATAGATATACAATTCGGTCCTGCTGCATTAGATTTAATACTCATTATAGATTCAAAAAGTTGCTTTCATTAAAGATATTTGTATTTACTGGATAGTGCTCAAAAGTGGAAGAGGGCACAGGTGGAGAAGTATGCGTAAAAATAGTCTTTACTAAATTGCGAATTTTTGTAAAATGTATCATGATCTGTAATCGTTTTAGTTTGTTTAGCAATTCGACAAAGTGTGTTTCTCTCTTTGATATAAGCACCCTCAAGTCGTCAGTCATCCATGGGGCGAATCTTTTCCTAATATTAGGTACATGGAGAGGTGCAAATGATTCAAAAGCAGATGTCAAATAAATTCTAAGATTATATACTTTAATATTAATATCAGATGCAGAATACACACTTGCCCAGTCATAAGTTGAAAGATGAGTAAGAAACTCAGTCGCATGAATATTGTGCAAACTACGAATAAAAACAGCATTATTAGCAGTTTGTGACCAATCTCCTTCAAAGTGAAATTTAATGTTGATCAAATCATGACTGGACAAGAATGATATTCGATGCTGACCAACTGAGAGCACCTTATCCAAATCATCAACCAGCATTACATCAATTCTAGTGCTAGAATTGATTATTTAATGGGTTGAGTCGTGAGGTACCACACATAGTCCAACCAAATATACCATAGAAACAAAATAATTAGTATTAGGAGAAGAAGTATTCAAATTACAATTAAAATCGCCCATTATTAAAATATTGTTAAAAAATTGAACTAAAGAAAAGATTTGTTGTGGTCAAAAGTCCGGAGTGCGAGCAATCCTAGAAGTGCTCGGTCACATCGCAGTTTGCCCGAGCCCTCATAAGCGAAGTCGGAAATACTAATAAATTATAATTTATTTCTGGCTTTGCCCCAAATTATGATACGCCACCTACAAAGTAATGTTTAGAAACTAAAAAAAATTTTTTAGTTTATAAATTTTATAAAAAAGGGTAATTTGAATAAAACCAAAGGGGTCGGTAAACTGCGAAGTATCCTAGGATTTTCCAGACTTTGACCACAACGTCCACAACATGTTGGTTGACTTACCTCGAAGAATTTGATAGAGGAAGACCTTAATGTGGTCAGGACTAAGGTGCTGCGGACTGACGATGATTTTGTGCAAATCACTTTGAAGAAGCTCTGTAATGACGTATCTGTGTAAGTAAATTGTTAAGAAAAATTGTTTCAATACAAAATTATAAATAGCTATAAAACAGGTGTCATCGCTGTTGTCTCGCTTGTAACCTTAAGCAGCGAAATGTTATACATTACGAGTCATTTTTATGAACACTTTTCTTCTAATCAATTTCATTCAACATAGGTTCAATTTATTTCTGTTTCTGTACAGATAATTTCAGAGATCACTCACCTTTTATTTTGTATACACTTGTGCACTTACTATTTGTAAACACCACTACTAAGTTAGTTGATTTGTTATCTTATACTCGTGTTTTTTATTTATTTGATTTCGTTCAGTGTGTTTATCAAGGTCTTAAACGGTTGATCGTTTTTCTATCTCACACACGTTTTCGGTAAAAAAAAGTTACTTATAAAATAATAACTTCATAAATCATTATTATTGTTCTTGCATACATTTAATAAATTTTACTTTCTGAAGATGACTTTTTTTTATTTTTCTGACTTGGAAGATCAAATCATACATAAATTTAAACCAAGTATAAAGTGAGGAAGTTGAAGCGAATCTCTTCAACACGAATGAAAGTCATTCGCAAACGTAAAATCTCACATACAGAAGGACACAGGTTTATTTTTGTCCAAGTATCAATAAAGTACAAGAAACTAAAAAAACCAATGGAAATAATTTGATTATTCTTCTTCGCTTGACCCCATCATGCCTGAATGCTAAAATGGTTAAAGGATAATGTTAGTGGGAATGGGAAGTAAAGATTGCAAAGTGAGAGACCGAGGTACATACTTGAACCGAACCAGGCGACTTGCATACCACTTCTGGACTGGATCGCGACCTAGTCGGGCAACTTGGGCAAGTGGCAAACAACCTCTACCTGCATTCCAATCTACCCATCGTATCGACCTTATTCCACCATTATCCTATTTCATACTCTGTTTCCATATCTTTATGCCAATCTCACAGCTTTACCTGTCAAAATCGACATTTTCAAATTAGGAAATTACAAAGTATATTTTTCACATTCCTTTTTCAGTATATACAGTAGAATCCGTTTATAATGACTCCGCTTACATTGACGAACTGCTTAAAGTGACATTATTTTGATGAAATGTTTAGTCTCGTAACAATTTCAATGTTTTTAAGTCTGCTTATAATGACATTGCTTATAGTGACATACCGCTTATATTGAAGTTTATATTGAAATATTTTGGTTAGTTACACTGCTTATAATGACGAAGCCATAATTACTTATTTGTTTTCAGATTCATTTTATTATGAAAATACTTTAGTCTTACTTTATTGACAATGCAAAAAACTCAGTTTAAACCCACAGTCACGATTAAGTTGTACATATGATCAGTAATCTTTCGTTAGTCTTACACAAAAATGCCTCATCATCGCGAAGTTTTCAAAATTTAGACTCTGGATCTTAAAAGGACACTTTTACCACTTAAAATCAATGCTGTATGTGCTCTTTTATTATCTGGAGCCTCAATTGATGAAAAAGGAGCAATTATATTAAATAGATTGGAAAATGGAGAATCTAACTCATCACTTGCAAAAGAATTTGGTGTTGGACATTCCACTATTTCCATGATTTTCAAGAATAAAAACAATTTTGAGAATTCATTTAATTGAAATCAATTCAAATGTTCTAAAATCGAAGCGAATTTGGAAATCAATTAGTGATTTTTTATAATAAGTTTTCAATATTTTATGAATGTCAGGTGTGAATACATAATATTAAATTTAAAATGTCTTACGTGATTGGTTTACTATAGAATTTTATATTATCCGTTTATTGTGACTACCGCTTAGTATGACGAAATTACTCTGCCCCTTCAATGTCATTATAAGCGGATTCTACTGTATTTAATTTTTATTATTTTATAATTTAAATTTAATTTAATACCTTACATTTTTTAACCAAAAATACTGTGTTTGGTCGGAGAGACCCAATTTTATGCGAAGAATTAAAAAGACTGAATTAAGACTCTTAATTACTTGTGGTAGACTTATAGTAAACTTTAAAGAGTATACAGGGTTAAGATGGGCAAAATGCCCTTATGTCTGGATTTTTTAATTGACCCGGTTCATGGGTATTTTCGGGTACTAAAATAAGGTAACTAGGGTCCATATGGGAAAAAGCCCCCTTGGCCCCCTTAAGGAGTCTAAAAATGCGTTTTTTCGAAAATGTTTATTCCTGGCTTATGAGTGGATGAAAAATTCTAAAAAAATTCATGAAGCTAGTGATTGAGCTGTACTTCAAAACTATATTTTTGGACACCCTACACTCTGTTTTTCTTGTTTAAAAAAACTCCAAAAGTTAAAAATAGATGGATTTTTCTAAAAAATAACCACCATATTGGTTTTTTGAGGTTATGTCAAAACCCTGATCTAATGAGGTAAAATGAACCTTGGATTTGAATTCAGCGACCCCAAAAACAGATACACAGACTCAGACCCCCAAATCAGTACCAAAATTTTTTGTGTGACTGTTAGTATTAATTCATTATTATATTAAATGTTTAACTTGCACAGAACAAAATTTTTATTTAGGGAAATAAAAATGTACCTGAATGCAACAACGTTTATAATTCATTTAATTAAAAAAATTCATCTTGATAACTTTAGTTGAATTAAACAAACTTTTCGTTAACGCTATGTACTATTATTATATTAATTTGTTTGATTTAGCCAAAATTTAGTGGTTGCAAATAAATTTTTCTCTGAGTGTAGGCTAATGGAAATAATATATGTATACATCTATGAAACTAAAATGGAATTGTGATTGAAGGTAGATATAATTTTACCAATTAATTTATATGTTCTATGTGTGCATGTAGTAAGAGTCAGGGTATTTAATCAATCGTGTGAGTATACGTATATATTGTGTAGTTCCCAATTAACGACGTTTCAGATACTATAACGAATCTAGTGCTCTGTTCTTGATCACGAATATCCTAGTTACATATAACCACAAATTATTAATGCGCATGACATGGCTATTGATACGTAGATGAAATGTCATTAGCACACCGGCAAACCCTATCTGCTTGGCGCCGAGAATATACAATAAAGAGGGAGAGAGTGAGAATCCTTTCTCCCTTGAATTTCCTAATATTTTCTACCAATTACATTATTGCAATATTCAAATATTTACATTTGTTTAATTACAAACAGACTTCCAATACTATTTCTATAACAATAACTTTAGGCAACCGTATCTGTATAAATAAATTTATTTAGAATTTATACAGAAGCCATTAGGCAAAAAAAAGGATTTTGACCATCTTTTATTAATATATTTATGACTTCCAAAAATATTTATTAAAAATTTATTTAATTTAATTATTATTAATATGTGATCTAGTAAGTCCCATAAATTCAAAAGGAAGTTGAAGTGAGCTTACTTTCAAGCTTACGTGGCTATGCGGTATGCGTATCCGCTTTGCGTCTTTGAGGTCTAGGGTTCGATCCCCCGGTGTGTGCGATATTTTTCCTCCTTAGTTTAAATTATTTGTATACAATTCTTAAAAGAGGAGGTTAAAGTTTCGAACGTTCAAATGAACGAAATTTATTTATTTCTTCTTCAAATTAAATTTTTATTACTATAATTCTGCGTCACTATTAAGCAAGTTAATTATAATGTTTCTAAATGTAAAATTTGAGTTTTTAATTTGAATTGTAATCAATAATCTATGAAAATATTTTTAACAAAAAATATTTCGTTCTTTTGAACGTTCAAAACTTTTTTTTCATCTTAAAAGTGTTACATAAAGTATAAGTTTAAATAATTATTAACAATAATAATAATAATTTAGTCATTAATTTAAATAAATATAATTGTCTATATTAATTAAAGAAAATAAAAAAATATTTTTTAAAAATAACCTCAAATAGTATAAGGGCTAGAAATAAAACTTTTAGTACCTATTTTAAATAACATTATATTTTACAGAACTTGGTATCTAGGTGTTTTTAAGGTCACTGACCGCGAATTCTTTTGTGGGCCTGTATCCAGGATACCTCCACGTGGTGACGGCGGGCAACGGAGTCATTCCGTGACCTGACAGAGTTCGAAAACTCGCAGATACCAAGTTCTGTAAAAATTCAAGAAACTTTTACAAATCCGACCGCCATATTGAATCCGCCATTTTGTATTTTTAAAATCTGCCTCTCAGTTCGTAATCAGCAACCTCAATAAACTCTCCCTCGATAACAACATTGAGGTAAATCCGTAAATATTTATAAAATTTTGTCTCTCACGTAAAATCTGATATGTATTTTGAGGTTAGGCAAAATCCTTACGTGATGGAGCAAAACGGACTTCAGATTCGTTTTCAGCGACCCCAAAAAAATATAATACACCAGGTTTGGTCAAAGTTTCATCGATTTTTTTTGTGGGCTTTTGTAATTTATCATTTATAGATTTAAAATTTATTATTATTTATAATAATGAATATAAACCCACATTATATAGCTTAGTAGGAGTTCAAGTGGGCTTTACATAAAAGTTTGGAACAATTCTTTAAATTGTCTAAATGATTATATTGAATTTTTAAGTGACAACCCATTGCGCATGTATAAATTCAAAGAAGACCGGCTAATCAGGCACTAAAGAGACTGTCTTGATAATAATTATAAAATTTTGAATTCTAGTGATGCCAATGAAATCCCATATAGAATACAGTTAGACACTCTAGATTAGACCGTCCAGATAAATCCCTTATATATAATACAGTTAGACCGTCCAGATGAGTCTAGGTTGCGTTCGGGTTGCTCATTACAAATCTTGCATCTGATTTCCAAAATTCAGAATGACGAATCCAATATGGTCGACAATAAAACTAAAAGTATTAAAATTTGTCTGTATTAAATTTATAACAAGTAACAATTTGTAACAATCTATCTATTTAAATAAGTGTAAAAACAGTTTTACTTAAAAATATTAAAAAGAAAATAAATAACTGAAATAATTTGTGGGGAATAGAGTAATATAGTAAACATAAAAAGGTCCTTAATTATCAATTATCACATTCACATATATTTATTCAAGGTATGTATAATTTATTTTCAAACAAGTGAATCCATCTGTTTCTCAAGGGTGAGTGCCGCTTGTAAGGTTGCTCCTTCGTAGTTAATTAAAACAAATAAATGCAATAAAATAAAATGAATAAATACTTAATAAAATAGTAAAATAAATAAACAAAAAGTAATTTTTTCAAATGATAGAAATATTTTAATTACGATTAAGAATGTTTTAGATTTTCAAGAAGTAATTTAAGTGATGTAATTAAGAAATAAATTTTTAGAGTTAGTTACAGAATCAATACCTACAGTTCTGAACGTGGGATAAGTAATCATGGTATCAAGGTTCCTTAGGGCTTCTATTCTACCAGTTGAGGTTTCTTTAAAGACATTGCGTGACAGATACATTTTATAATCTGTTATCTATCCTTTAGAGTAGATAACAGATTACAAAATTTATGTAGGTATATATTATAATATATTTTTCTTTTACTTAGGGACTTTTGAGAAATCTGCATACAGATACCTTTGGTTCCGCACTCGAAAGTTATGGTAGTAGTTAATAATACTTAATATTTTAATTATTAATAAAAATATAATTTAATTATTAAATAATTGTTTAATTAATAAATGGTTAAATTGTTTTATTGTTTCATGCTTTCGTAACACAGAAAAAAACGATAATCTAATTTTAAGAAGCTCCTACTTAAATAGGAGCCAAGAATATTCCCTACTTAAATTAAGTGGGGCCACTTAATTTAAGTAGGGAATATTCTTGGCTCCTATTTAAGTAGGTGCTTTTTAAAATTAGATTATCGTTTTTTCTGTGAAAGCATGAACCGAGCATCAGTTATCACCTGGGAAGTTTCTTTTAATCCTAAATTAAAAATATTCTCTTCACTTTTCTACGACACAGAAGAGATTAAATTATATTTCAGTCATAAATATTTAAAGCTGTTAAGTAAAGGATACATTTCTTGGAAGAAGTCCAAATGCGGAGGCTGCAATATATCCAATGCAGAAAGGACCTGAAAAAAAACAAAGTGTTTCTTGACAAACTGGTCAAGAGCATCATCTTATCGACCTACTCAAAGCGCAGCTCCCTGAACAATATAAATCCAGTCAACTAATTTATTTTAAGAGCCACTTAGATAGAAAGACAATTTTTATGGAAGAAAAAATCTCAACTAAGTCTACCGTGTAAAAATTTCCCCATTTGTCCCTGTCTCTAGTGCGGCCCTCGCTAGATTTTTACTAGATCTCTAGTCTGAAAAAACTTGGACTTTTTGTGTTTTGGATCTTCAAAGTGTTCGACCTTTTGTTCCTATACCGCAATTTACAACATGAATAAGTGTTTAAAAAAAAAAACAAAAAAAAAACAAAAAAACTTTTTTTCTTTTTAAAAAAAAACTTCAGATCGAGAATGTCAAAGCTGTGGCATTAAAGGTATTTGAACCATTATGACGTCACAGTTTTAGAACACATACTTTGTACGGACTGTGACGTCATAATAGTTCAAATGCCCATAAAATGAGAATATTTTTAAAGCTGTTTATATATTTCGGTGCATGCATTCTTTTGATATTATAAAGTGTAAAATTATGTTTAGAGAATTTTCTTACATTCTCGTGTTTGAAGAAGCACAGCATCTTTAATTCTCTAAAGACCCTTTTACTGCTGACCAGACTTTGAAAGACATTTGGTAATTTCTTCAAAGCTACCCTCCTACCATCTCTGGGATCTGTAACTGCCCTGTAAGCAAAAATGTAAAGAATTTAATTAAATAATTAAATATTATAACTAATAACAAAATTTACAAATTTATTTATTTGTAAATGACTTTGTTTATACTATTAATTAATAATATGAATATAATATATAAACAAGATTTTTAAGTTTCGATAAATATTTATAAAAAATTCAGGATTATTACCGGACCTACATACATTGGAATAATTATTTTCTCACGCAAAGTCGCGCTAAAAATAATGTTTAAATTTACTATCCACCATACTAGAGGTCTACATATCTGAGAAGCAATGGAGTCATATAGTTTTGATACCATAAATGATTCAGTTCCTATACATGAGGATTTTACGGGCAGAGCTCTAAATAAATCGTTAATAAAACTTTAGTCCGAATTACTTAATCCATACAGTATTTGAAATGGGGTGAAGGAGATGTTAAACTCGACAGACGTAAAATACAACCCTGTAAAAAGATTATTGTTCACAACAGTAAAAGAAGTGATAATCTTTTGAATCTTGGTTATAGGGATGACGAACATATATTTTGTTCTGAATCTATTGCATTTAATTGAGTATAATTTCGAAAAAACTTATTTGTTGTATGAATGCTTTAATATTGATCTAGAAACCATCGATAAATTATCAAAATTACTCGAAGTATCATCTCTTGCATTTTATAAACCTTTTTCCAGATAGACTGACTTGGACCCCTCTGAAAAGAGGGGTTTTAAACACTTTATCAAAGTAGCAACTCAATCATATACAACTCCTTTTAGGAAAACCATTACAAAATTAAAGGACATCATGTTCGAAACGTTAAGCAGTAAATTAAAAAATTTTCTAAAAAAAACAAGAATACATCTGTTTAACAACTGATTGTTGGACAGATTTCAATATAAAGTCTTTTCTGGTTCTTACAGCTCATTATTCCGAAAATTTAAAAATAGCGTCAGTCAATCTTGGAGCATTCTCCTTAGAAGAGAGACACACTTCGGAGTTTTTGGGGGATAAACTTTACAGTCTGTGTATGGAATGGAATATTTCAAAATCTGCAATAGTCGCAATAATAACAGACAACGCTCCTAATATTATTAAAGCTGTTTGCAACAAATTCGGATCCACTCATCACTTCAGATGCTTTGCCCACTCCATTTAATTAGTACCTGAGATGCCTATTAAAAATACTTCAAACGTTAATCTTATTTAAAAAGTTAAAGTTATTGTGACTTTTTGTAAAAAAAAGTTTCAACGCAGCAGATTATTTAGGACGACTTCAAATGAAGGGAGGAAAAGCTAAAGGTCAACGACTAAAAGTAATACAAGAAGAAGATTCCAGGTGGAATACGACTTACTACATGATAGAGCGTTTCATTTCTAATGTCTCCGATTTTAAGTTCGGTTCTGTTTAATATTAAAAATGCTCCAGAAATGTTATTTTCTGTGGAAATGGACATTTCAAAAGATATCATGGAGATTCTGAAGCCAATTGAGCAAATAACAAGAGAACTTAGCTCAAAAAACGTTACCTGCAGCAAAACTATTCCTATGGTTAAATGATTGACAGCATTTCTTGAACGAAAGATACCTATACAACTTTGATAGGAGAAACTTTCCAAAGTAATTTAAAAACTTCGGTCGAAAATCGATTCAAAGATATAGAAATTAAGAAGGCTATTTGGTCCAAAGCCACCCTTCTTGATCCTAGATTCAAAAAAATTTATTTTCAGCCACTTCATTTGATAAAAATATAGGTTGATTTAAAAGCTGAAGTTAAAATCTCCAAACGGTTAAAAGCTGCATAAAAAGTACAGAACTATCAGAGATTTGTACTGATGACAGTCAAAAATCTGATAATCTTTGGGAATTCCACGACCTAATAACTTGTTCTTTATTTAAGCGCGACAAATCAGAACAAGAAATCACACCTGAATTAAATCGGTTTTTACAAGAACCACTAGCTCCTAGAACTGTAAATCCATTAGCATACTGGGAAGAAGTAAAGTACAAGTATCCAAAATATCCGGTAGCTATTTAATATTTAACTATTCCAGCTACCTCGGTTCCCTGACCGTGTCTGGTTGGAACTTTCGTTCTAAGTGGAGCGCATTAGGATTTGTCCTCTTGCGCGGGGTTGCTGAACCTCTATCGGACGCGTACCAAAAAGGCGGATAGGTGTGACTATTAGAAATAGGTGGTATCGAGGAAATCAAACACTCGTCGCGGAGCAAAACTAGCAAAAAAGAAAACATCCACTATGAGCGATTGTAAAAACAAGGAAGAGTACCCGCGGGGTAATGCTTCGGCTAAATCCCTCACTGGTTCCGATCGTCAAGCGCCTGGCGTGAGGACGGTGGCCAGTGGCCCCAGGAAGCAGGAGTGCAACAACGCGTTGGTTGTACCAAAAGTTGTCTTGGACAGAGTTTTCAGTAATGCTTCTACGATTGACATTGCAAGCTGCAATGAAGGTCGAGACAAATGCATTAAGCTGCGGAAGGAAGAGGTCAGCAAGATGCTGCAGTCCTGTGAAGTCCAGAAGAATGTCAATATGACAATCAAGGATGGACTCAGAAGCTTAACATCGCTCACACAGGATGTGAACAAGAAACACGCAGCAGCGACAAAAGTAGACGAAATGTCCTACCAAGGATTAACTTGGTCAGAAGAAGCACGCAAGGACCGAAGGCTGAGACGTGACCGTTTTAATGCAGTAATATTAAAAAAAGTTGTCTTGGAGAGTCAGAAGCGGAAGAGAAGCGATCCTGAGATTGCGAAGGACACAAAAAGGAAGAAGGAGGAGGGACCTTCTAAAAGAACTAAAAGTGAGGGGACCAAAACAACACCAAAGGCAAATTCAGGCAAAAAAGGAAGAACCACAGTGATGTCAAAGTGATCGTCAAAGTGGATGAAGGAACTACATTCACCAAAGTGCTGGAGAAAGTTCGTGAAGAGGCTGACCTGGAGGCCAGTCAGACAAGAGTTGTGGGAGCTTTACGTTATTAAAAGTGGAGGGTCTTCAAACAAGAAATTGTTCCCCGAAGAGGTGAAAAAGGTAATCGGTGACCTAGGTAAGGTGCAGATGGCGAACTGTGCTGGAAATTCGCGATATGGACATCCTTACCGAACAATAAGACGTCAAGGAGGCCCTAGAAAAATTATGTACGGTGCAGGAAGGTGACTTTCATTGGACCAAATAAGCTAGGTATAAAACTCGCTGCCGTGGTCATCACCCAAGAGGACGCTCACAAACTGGAGGAAATAGGTCACACGTTAAGATTGGTTTCGTGTCCTGCAAAATTAGTAGAAGAATTATGGTCACAAGGTGTCATAGGTGCCTTGACTATGGCCATGTAGGTAGAGATTGGCAAGCGGCCAAACGGCATTGCTGTTTTCAAAACAGCTACGGCACTCTGTTCAAAATTTATCACTTTTTAGAAAAAATGTTTTTTTACTAGTTTCAGATCAAAATTGAAATGCCAATCATGTCCACCATCAAGGAATGTACTGGAATGCGTGTATCTCCGACATTTTTAATTTTTTAAAAAACTATTTCGTATTTACATAGCTTACAATATGTATTAAAAAACAATAAAAATGTCTTATCTTAAATATTTTCGTAAAAAAAAATTCTTAAAAAACCGTCCAATTTAAATGCGTTCAGGGTAGCGTAACCCCTTAAATTCTAAGAATTGATTTTTTGAAAAAAGCAGAAATAAATCAAATCAAATTGCAAAAATAAACATAAGGTTGATTCTGGAATTAACCGTTGTATTTAACTTTCAATTGTTCCTAGAATTTTCTTTGTGAATTGATGCCTAATTTTTTTAAATAAGCTGTATAAAAAATTGAACCATAATCTGCAATTAGCGGAAGTAGTTTCTCCAAATAGTTGATGTCCTTGTTTTGAACTACTTGGCCGAAAGATAAGTCTCAGCTTATTCATGTAAATACTGGTGCAAAGCACTTATACTGCTGCTAATTCACAAGTCGATATCTTGTTAAATTTGGGTTACGCGAAATACATACAAAGTGTTGAGGCAATTGTAAAACGTGTCTTGCTCTATACGATAATAAGATGGAATAATTTTTAAAAAAGTTTCCACTAATTATTATCAAACAAAAGGTTTGATAATACCAAATATACCACTTTCAAACAATATTTTTTGATGCCAGAATTAGGAGTTAAATTAGTAATCTAAAATGCCCTAAAGAGAATTTTTCAAAAAACCCGAGGAGAAAATCTAGAAGCTCTCAGTACACTTTTTCTCATAGAGCTGATGACTGTTTAGATAAAAAAAAAAATTTCAGATGTCGAATACCCTTTGCAGATCACTGTGTAGAAAGTAATTACTTCAGAATATTAGGTTAGAACTCTTTTTTGGAAAAATAATAGTGCTATGCAAAATTAGGACTATGATTTTTCAATGTCTCTTTTTTTGTTGTTAATCATCAGACCTATTTAAATAATCGTTATAAAAATCTAGAACTATTTCTAAAGTGCCCAGAACTATTGTAAAAATTTTGATTTTTCAAAAAAGTAGTTCCAACTTTACATGACTAAAAACTCTGTATATTTTATATTTTTGAAAATTTTACTCATGTAACTTTTTGGATTTTTAACTTAGAGCAAAATGTCATGGGAATTATAAAATTATTATAAAAAATAATCGATTTTGATGTGTACCCCTCCTAGTATAGCGCTCACAATTCTTGACCTATAGACTGTAGTTTTGTTTTTTATGTATTTTTATGTAAAGATTTAATGAAAATATAGCAAAAAATGATTGGATTTGATCTTCGTAGTGTTTTCAGCGAAAGACTAGAAATTTTTGAGAATTTTGAAAAAAAATGTATGACCCCACTGTCTTATGTATTTTCACACGTATTTTCAGGTTAGTCTCAAGATGTGCAAAATATAAAATTGAATAATTTATTGCAAAATAAAATTTACGTGCGACTTGTGAAAAACAATATTCCGCATTTTAAATTTGAGATGCAGGTAATTGTAAAAGAATAAC